CATCCAGGTCTGTTTTGGTCGCCATACTATAGAATGGTCATAGATTAACTTGGACGGTTACGGAGAATTATGACAGTTAATCCCAGGAATTATTAGCCTCGTAAAGAGAGATTATGAAAGCTAAATTTACAATCCCCAGAAAGGCGAAGAGTTTGGTGTGACATGATTCATCAATACATGTGGATTAATAAGCATAACAATGGAGATACTAAAAGAAAATCCACAGGAGCCGTGATGAGGATTCGAACCTATGCAGTGGGTATTCCCTGCTGCACGCTCTAGACGACTAAGCCACATGCTCATTGATACATTACGTTACTGTGGTTTGTGTGTAATGTAGGTACTAATAAGGTGTTAAATATATCAATACATACAGTTTACGGAACAATGGATATAAACAGGGTAAGATTCGATTCAGGAAGTACATTGGTAAATACTAGTTTGGAAATAAGGTGGTTGATTAATGATAGAAACTGCTGGGTTTAGACGACGTGGTATCACGGGATTGTTTCAAGCGTAGGTTACACATATATATGAATGAGTTTGGGTGTAAATGGGAGCTGCCTCGTATGGGCCAATAGGGCTTTAACTTAATTCGCATGTTCTTATTGTCCAACCACTTGGATTGGACGGTAGAGCGACATGCCTCGCTTTCATGCAGGCAGGCGTTCAATCCCAGACTTAAGTGGTTGGGTATCATTCCCTTCCTCTGTTCTATCCCACATTCCTTATCCTCGTATCCCTTCCAGGTGTTGTGTGGTCGTAGCGGCTTAGCACTCTCTCTCTCTCTCTTGATAATATGTAGGGTTAGGTTTTGTAATTATGTTCTTAGCTTTAAGCAAGAAGACGACAGACTGGTTAACAAAAACCTTTCAAACAGATGCCAAACCAAATTTTGAGAGCAGGCGAGAGGCGCATAATAATTTAAACTTGAGAAATATTAGAGGCACTGGTTCCAAATGTGCACACGTAAATAACTCCTCATGAGGCCAGGAGACATGACAGGAAGTTCCAAATAGCACTGTTGAAAAGCAAAGGTGTAATCTCTCAAACAATTCTATCAACATTTAAAGGTGCAAGACTTTTCAACACTCCCCCAAAACATAAGGTGGGCATAACTAGCCGACCTCTAATGGTGTTCAATAGAACTTGATAAATATGCCCACAAGGTAGACTCAAGGTAAGTAGGATGGATACCTTACTCAGATCCTGTGATCCTGCGATCAGCGGCGTGGTTGACCATACAACCAATCAGTTTGCCTGGTCACAAACCGGGCTTCAGAGACATTGATCCCAGCCGTCACCTCAGGGTAAGGTTAAGTGTCCTGCACCACGCATACAAGGACACAAGTGAAAACTAAATAGTCATGATGCAAGCTAGGATAAGCCCTGACTATCCCTCAAGCTAGGATAAGCCCTGACTTTATCTCTCACACTTAATGTGTCTCCTCAAGTTCAACTACGTTTATTGAGACAATAAAATACATCTCAAAGGGATTGAGTAGCTTAGGCTACTTCTGCCCTCCTCTACTTCAAGTCCCTCGAGGGGCGCACAAATCCAGTGAGTACTAATCCACAAATCACAGTACAAGAATCACATTTTACATTGCAGGTTACTGTAGTAAACACAGAATATAAGTGTTACAAGCTACAAGCACTTTGCCCAAGAGTATAAGTATTGTCTTATCATACCATTATCACACATCCAGACAATTTGATGTAGCATACTACTTATTTCCTTATTTCTATAGTTATCAATAAGTTGACACAAATACATAATGATCTAAGGTGTGGGCGTACGGCATACTACATAATTTACACTCCTTATCTATTTCAAAATTCAAATGTTTATTCAGGTAAAGTACATACATACAAGGGGTGATACAGATATTAATGAATTTATAGATAGAGCTAGTACATACAATGCCTAAAGCCACTATTACGCCAAGCGTTTCGGGCAGACATCACTAACATCAACACCGTATTGCCAGAAATATTTGTATCCTACTCTCAATCTCCAGTCAATTTAATCCTTCAAATTAGACTTTACTATAAGAGAAGGAGGAATTTGTATTTATTATTGCATAATGCTTAAATTTTTACTGCTGTCCACCATTACCGTTCTCAACTTTTTCTCCATCCTCTTGGGTCATCTTGATTCTTGCCTTTATTTGTTTCAGCGTTATCTACATATAACATCGACATGAGTTTTTGCCCAGGCTCTGTTCGCCATCTCATAAACTGCCTCATACAACAGTATTCCCACATACGACAGCCCGTCCTCCAAACAAAACCCCAAAAGTGATTCCATGCATCCACCCATTTTTGTCTAATGTCTTAGCATCACTCTCTATACTGGCCCACAATATTCTGGTATGTCTCCTCTCGTCTACTGGTCTTCTCCCTCCCTGAGCAGTCGCTCCTCCGGGGAGTATCTGCTCTTCTCGTCTTACTTGTACTTAGTACCCAAATGAGCCACAGAAAGCATGTTTTCAGAGAGATCAGGAAATGGAGTGCACTAAGACGTGTGGGCGCGGAGGTAGACTCCATGCGCAGTTTTAAATGTAGATATAAAATAAAGCAATAGGCAATATTTAATCAGTATATACACCGGCTGATTAAAAGTTGAGAACCGGGACCAGAGAGCCGAACCTCGACTCTAGCAAGTCAAAAATTCTGGCGAATGTCTCCCGTCGCTTCTCCCGCCAGTTTCAACACATATCGATACATTTATGTAAGTAATAATATTAGACACCAGTGGCCACAACGTCAGTTAAGTGGAGGAAACTGACTATTTTATCTGTTTCTTCGGGACACTCATCCGGTGACATCATAAGCGTGTTGTGACGTCACCAGTTGAACGCTTTCTATTGGCTTCACAGTCTTGGAACATGATGTCATCGTTTGCAGTGACGCCTCACGCTTGCTAGTGATTGGCTGAAGGAGCGTTCATGTCGTCATCGTTGACGTCATTGATGAAGCTATTTTTTTATATTTTTTTTATATAAAGGTTGCGGGTTGCCTTCTGGGAAGATTCTTAGTAATGCGCTGATGTTTGATTTGACGGATTGTAAAGGAGATTTTGTTGTGTTTTGTTGATTATTATTGTATCGAGTCGATGTAGTGTTTGTGAGTGAATGTTAAATTGGTAAAGTGAGGTAGAATGTGTGTGGTTGTGTGGGAAGTGGTGGTGGTGTTGGCGGTGTGCGGGCGGCGGGCAGCACCTTCACTACCGCCACCACCAGTATCATTCCAGTATCCTCCTCGCTCCCAGTCACTGGTGCGACGCCCGGTGCCCCGCGCCTCCCAGTAACACGCGCCCCTGCACGTGCTGCTACACCCGCCCCTCCTCTCTATCTACACCAGTCTACACTATTTTTCACGCACAGTTTTGTCTGCAGGAACATAGTGTTTTCAATATTGAAGCCATCAACACAAGCTTCTTCAACAGTGAGTACTACAAGCGTAAAGGTTATTGTAGTTCTCGTGTATATATATATATATATATATATATATATATATATATATATATATATATATATATATATATATATATATATATATATATATATATATATATATAATGTCGTACCTAGTAGCCAGAACGCACTTCTCAGCCTACTATGCAGGGCCCGATTTGCCTAATAAGCCAAGTTTTCATGAATTAATTGTTTTTCGACTACCTAACCTACCTAACCTAACTTTCTCGGCTACCTAACCTAACCTAACCTAACCTATAAAGATAGGTTAGGTTAGGTTAGGTAGGGTTGGTTAGGTTCGGTCATATATCTACGTTAATTTTAACTCCAATAAAAAAAAATTGACCTCATACATAATGAAATGGGTAGCTTTATCATTTCATAAGAAAAAAACTTGAGAAAATATATTAATTCAGGAAAACTTGGCTTATTAGGCAAATCGGGCCTTGTATAGTAGGCCAAAAAGTGGGTTCTGGCTACTAGGTACGACATATATATATATATATATATATATATATATATATATATATATATATATATATATATATATATATATATATATATATATATATATATAAATAATATATATTTTCCCTGTCGATTCTCAAGGGAATTGATAGGGTAGATAAAGACAGGCTATTTAACACAAGGGGAACACGCACAAGGGGACACAGGTAGAAACTGAGTGGCCAAATGAGCCAGAGATATTAGAAAGAACTTTTTTAGTGTCAGTGGTTGACAAATGGAATGCATTAGGCAGTGATATGGTGGAGGCTGACTCCATACACAGTTTCAAGTGTAGATATGATAGAGCCCAATAGGCTCAGGAATCTGTACACCTTGTAACAAGAGAGCAGTACATAGTAGTACAACATGAATCTCATCCTGTAACTACACTTGGGTAATTACATGTGGTTTTTCCGCATACTTGGATCAGTGTTTTTGTGATCATTATTGCATATATATTATTATATACTGTACTGTATAATATATATTGTGACCATTATATATACATTGTGACCATTGTACTGTGTACAGGTGACTGGTACAGGTACAGTAAATAACTAATACTGTTTGATATACAGTACAGTATTACATTTTTACAATTTAAAAAATAACTACACTTATTTCCAAAGAAATAAAATTCATATGTTGGCTAAACAAGTAAAACAAATCATTTATATAAAAACATAGTACAGTACAGCATTGCATTTTCTAATACAGTACTGTACCTAGAATGTAATTTCTTTAAACTTTTCAATAACTAGAATATAAATTTGCTTTAAAATAATTGCTATCATTTGTTTTTGTAGATATTATACCTGTAATATATACTGAGACAAAGAATTGTGTGTGTATACCTTCCCTGGCTGCACATGTGATTGACCTCATGTCTTGTAACTGTTTTCAGATATATTGGGAGTAATTTTTCAAACTACTGTGTAAACTTGTAGTTGTAATTTGTGTAAACTGTTTAATTCCAAGGACAAAAATTGACTTACATTGTGGTTATTGTTTCAGTGCGTGTAATGGTGCGTGATGGTGGGCACAGAGCATAATAGCCATTGGCGTGGCGGGTGTGGTGTTGGAGAAGGGGAGGAGGCCAGCCAGTGCCATGGAGGCCCTCACCACCACCATCAGTTCCACTACCACCTCAGGGAGGAGAATGCCTCCCCATATGCCTGCTCCAATGCCTCCATCTGCTTACACACTACCTCAGCCTGAAGAGTTTGCCACTGTCCATGGAGGCTCCACATGTGCTAGACGCCCACTACCTCCCCACACTTCATCTACAAGGAAACACCGGCCAAATCACCAGCGGAACCTTTCTCTTGATTTCAGGTATGGGTAATGTACTGAACTGTGTTATTGCAGCAGTTAAATTTCTGCCTGCTTGATGGGGTTCTGGGAGTTCTTCTACTTCCCAAGTCCAGCCCGAGGCCCAGGCTTGACTTGTGAGAGTTTGACCAACCATATCCACCTGGTTGGTCCAGCACTCCTTGAAGAAAACTATCTAGTCTTCTCTTGAAGATGTTCACAGTTGTTCCGGCAATATTTCTTATGCTCGCTGGGAGGATGTTGAACAACCGTGGACCTCTGATGTTTATTCAGTGTTCTCTGATTGTGCCTATGGCACCCCTGCTCTTCACTGGTTCTATTCTGCATTTTCTTCCATATCGTTTACTCCAGTACATTATTTTACGGTGTACACTTGGGACCTGGACCTCCAGTATTTGCCATGTATATTATTTGATATCTTTGTGTTTACATGATCATAAATGCCACAATTGGCCAGCTCAAATTAAAAAATAAAAATTGTATGCAACACTTAAATCTAGTTGGCTAGTTTGACAGGTTAAAATTAATATGGCCCTTCATTATACAGTATAATTACTGTAAGTACTTTCCTATTGTATCTCTCTCTCTCTCTCTCTCTCTCTCTCTCTCTCTGCATTTATTTAGTTAACAACAGTATTTTGTTTGAATGATATGCAGTAGTCTATGTAATATTTGTCAGTACAGTACATGTACTGTAATGACCAGAGTGCAACTCCACAAGTCTCCCGAGTCTGAAGAATGCTTATCTTGAGGTTATCTTGAGATGATTTCGGGGCTTTTTTTTTTTTTTTTTTTAGTGTCCCCGCGGCCCGGTCCTCGACCAGGCCTCCACCCCCCAGGAAGCAGCCCATGACAGCTGACTAACACCCAGGTACCTAATTTTCTGCTAGGTAACAGGGGCATAGGGTGAAAGAAACTCTGCCCATTGTTTCTCGCCGGCACCTGGGATTGAACCCAGGACCACAGGATCACAAGTCCCGCGTGCTGTCCGCTCGGCCGACCGGCTCCCCATGTAATATTTATCTGTACTGTATACTGGCCATGTCTCATTAAAAATTTTCATGTACTGTACTGTATATGAAAGTAAAAGGAATGGAAAAATATAAATTGAACAGAAAAATATAGATTGAGAGACAGGAGAAAATGCTAGAAAATTACTCAGAAAATAGAAACTCGTGTACATACAGGTATTTGGAAATGAGTAATTTGGAAGACAGATTGATGCAGTATCGTATTCCTGCTGATATATTTATGGAAGAACTGAGTGCATCAGTGAAGAAGCTGGAATGTGATAAAACTGCAGGTGATGAGATATATGCAGAAATATTTTAATGTAGTAGAGTTAAAGGAATGGAGTGAATGTGAATAATTTGCCTAAAGGCATAATGTCATAGAATTAGTAATTACCTAAGTGTAGTTATAGGATTACAGCTACGCTCGTGGTGTCCCATCTTCCCAGCACTCTTTCATATAATACTTTGAAACTACTAACAATTTTGGACTCTACCAACACCTCACCTTATTTGTTCCAACCGTCTACCGCTCTGTTTGCGAAAGTGAATGTTCTTATATGCCTTTGGCAGCTTTGTTCAGTTAGTTTATATCTATTACCTCTTGTTCTCGAAGTTCTAGGTCTCGGGAATTTTTCCCTATCAATTTTATCGATTCCTGTTATTTTGTATATAGTGATCATATCGCCCCTCTTTCTTGTCTTCTAGTTTTGGCACAGTTAATGCCTCTAACCTCTCCTTGTAGCTCTTGTCCTTCAGTTCTGGGAGCCATTTAGTTGTCTTTGCACCTTTTCCAGTTTGCTGATGTGTTTAAGATACAGTGGTACTGTACCTCAGTTTACGAAATTAATCCGTTCCCAGAGACAGTTCGTAAGCCGAAAATTTGTAAACTGAAGCGAATTTTCCCATAAGAAATAATGTAAATTTAACTAATCCGTTCCACACACTCTCAAAAATTAACTTCGAAGTAAATCTTATACCTAATTCACCCAAATCTTTAGTACTAAAGTATGTACAAGTTATTGCTTACATTTATTGATGACTCTTGTTGGTGTATAGAAGATGGTGAGGAAGGGGAGGAGGAGAGGTGTTAGTGTTTGGAAGGGGAGTCCCCTTCCATTATAACATCAGACAGTGATGACTTCTCTGGGGTACACTCTGGCACATTTTGCCTGCATACCACTAGGACCTGCTTGTGGCTCACTGCTTGTTTTTCTCACTAAAAACCTGTCTAGTGATACTTGTTTTTCCCTACGTTGTAACGCTTGTCTGAAGTGAGACATCATATTGTCATTAAGAAGGTTAACACAACGGCTTACTACAGCTTGCTCTGGGTGAATTAATAAACACTTCAACATCCTCAAGTGTTGTGTTCTTTGTTTCGTGATTGTTGATATGCCTTTAGCCACTTAAGCACTCGTAATGTACTTTTTCATAGTATAGAGCGTATCGTTGACATAGATTTGTTGTACTGCCTAGCTAGTTCAACAACCCCATGTACGAACCATTTTCGTGTTTACGAATGATCTCATGTTTTTCCTCTATGGTCGTTCTCACATGTGTTTTCTTGACTTGTACCACTGACTTTCTTGGGACCCATGGCGAGATATATAATAACTACTTTAATGTTCAAATAGCCAAAAATCCGAAAAAACTGAAATTCATTACAAAGAATTCAGGTGTAATTATCACTAGGAGGGAGGCACTGGTAAACTGAGGTGCAATTGCCGTGCCACCATGCGCTAGGTCGGCCATACACGTACTGTATCAACAAACTTCGTTTTCCGAGGCAGTCTGTAACCCGGTTCAAATTTTCCGAAGAAATCAGGCTCGTAACCCGAAAAGTTTGTAAAGAGGGGCATTTGTAAGCCGAGGTACAGTACCACTGTATGGGCACCATACAACCGCTGCATATTCCAGCTTTGGTCTAACAAAGGTAGAAACAATTTTTTTAGTATTTTGCCATCCAATGTAATTAAAAGCAATTTTGAAATTAGAAAGAGTAGCATATGCTTCTTGCACGATGTTCTTTATGTGGTCCTCAGGTGATAGTTTTCTATCTAGAACCACCTCTAGATCTTTTTCTTTATCAGAATTCTTTAAAGATTTCTCACATAATTTATAGATTGTGTAGGGTCTATATTCTCCTATTTCACAGCCCCTAACTTGGCATGTATTCACATTAAATTCCATTTGCCAAGTGTTGCTCCATATACTTATTTTGTCCAGGTCTTCCTGAAGGGCATGACAATCATCTAAGTTTCTTATCTTCTCTATTATTTTTGCATCATCAGGAAACATGTTCATATAATTCTGTATGCCATCTGGTAGATTGTTTATGTAGACATTGAACAGTACCGGTGCAAGAACTGAACCCTGTGGTACTCCACTCGACATTTCTCCGTTCCGATACATTGCCTCTGGTTACTGCCCTCATTTTTATGTTGGAAAATTTTTTCATCCATATTAGCTGAAGATTGAAAAAAAGCAGATTGTAAAACTGCTGTACATACAATATATATATATATATATTCATATAAAGGCAAATATACTGTATTAAGTGTAAGAATTATAGCTTAGACTGCCCTAGACACATTAACTTTCCAAGTGTAGTTGGTGTAGTATATGACACGATAGTACAGTACAGTAATTGGATCATTATAGAAAATTTCCGAGACACTAATCACTCGTGAAGGGCTTTATGGAGGAAGAGGGTGTTTATCAGATATTTTAATTAAGATAGCAATTAGAGGAGGTATGGGAGACTTTACATAGCATTTATGAAATTTATGCAATTGTAAAAATGATTAATGTAGTGTAATGACCGCTTCCCTCTGTAATAACCGCGGCCTCTATTGTAATAACCCAATGTTCCCCAGTATTAATCCTGTTATCTTGTTATCTCTCGTGATCGTAATATACGCTCTCTGTTGTACATCTCTGTCTCTCTCCACTCAATACCCCAGCTTAACACTGTTACAGTCCAGCATGACCCCTCACTGGACTGCCACGTATCTAAGAGGAATATTAAATGAGGAAGATACACCAAGGACAAGGGTTATTAGTTAAAAAAAACAATAACAAAACACATTTACACTGCCACCACCTTCCTGACCAACCATACCTGAATGTGTCAATCACCGATCCCCCAGGAAGGCAAGGAATCAGTAACCCTGGGACTCCGGGTAATATGAATTTCAGTAATAAATTTTGGAAAATTAGTTTGTGTAATTTACGTTACTAATTTGAATCCAAGGGCAACTTTAGTATCGATTAATTGTTAGGAGAGCATGGGGGCTTCCAATACAACACCTAAAAATGACAAAGTAGCAAAATATATCAAAGGGGAGTTAAGTGAATACCACTGGACAAGCTATACAATTTATTTTATGAAACATGTAAATTAAGACAATTTGAAACACATAACCTATTCTATTTCCCTAGAGGCACAATGGATATTTACCGAGGACACGAAAACTCAAGTGCACTATACCTTAAATACCCGCACTACGGCCACGATGTTGATGGCTGCCCTCATCCCCGAGGATACGGGCTTGCGGCCCTGTTCCTAATACACTCCCAAGACACACTGATGAAATTTAGTTTTTCCAACTTATTGCTGGGAAGGATTACTCCTCCCACCATCTAATACAGCCCCAGGGCTCCACCCATTATTTTGGCACTGGCCAACCATTTAACACGTGGGCCTGAGGTCTGGCTCTCTAGGGCCAATAAGGACTTGGCCCTTATCTCAGGCCAATCACCTTCACTGATCTGTCGTGGAAAGCTACATGAATTTCTGAAGATTGAGTCAGCTCTCCCCAGCTAGAGAAGGGGGACAAGGCGCGTCTATGGAGCCCAGACACCTGCGAGCAATGTTTACAAAACTGATAATTTATGTTCAAGCCTGTCTCCTCTAAGATAGGAGTAGGGACATTTGACTCTGCCTGGTATGGGGAAGGCCGCTGCTGAGAGGGACAGAGAGGGATGAGA